TTTTTGTAATTTACAATTTCCATTCTTCACTTCCCATTTGTTATTCGAGTTATCATATAAACCAGTTGCTTTTTTCAGGGAAACCATCCGGATGATGGCTATCCGGTACTATTAAAGCTTGCAAAAACAGGTTTTTCAATTAAACATCGGCGCTCAGTTGCTCCCGTGCCAAAGGTAAAGTCTGTTGCATATAATTGCTCCTTATATCGTTATTAATGTGTTCTGGCTATGCAGCTTCCATTCTTTGACGACTTGAGGACATATTTTGTTGTTAATTACTGTTCAGTTGTTGGTTTTTTCGAATTTGCTGATGTTTTACAAGACCTTGTTTTGAATGTTCTTACAGAATACGAAGCCTGGGGAAATAACCATGGAGAAAGCTTTGGAACTATTGCAAGGTAAGGAAGTGAAGCGATGTGGACGACCAAAGCGTAACAAGGTTAAAGAGGCCATTGAAGCTATGTAAGCATGCCCGATTATTATCTATGGTTCAAGCCGTTACGATTTTCATTTAGTCAATTTTTTAAGCTATCGGATACACTAAATAGATTTATGTCGGGAATTTTGGGTAAAGCTGGTTTTCACCTTTTAGTTGGCAGAGATTCTGGAAATGTAATTTTAACATTCATTAGCAATTGATTTTTGAGTTTTATCAATTTGGTATGGTCTCTTCAGCAATGTCACCCATTTGGTATGGTTGGTTTATATTTTGCTTTAATCATGAATATGGATATAGTACGAATAAGCATCGGATCAAGATTCAACCAATTTTATCAAAATTGCCGAGTTTTTCAACCAATTGTCTAAATCGCCTTGGCATACAGTCGCCACCTACTTTGCAATGGCTACACTCTTAAATGTGATGACTATTCCCAAGTGGAATCATATCCTTATATACGAGCATTTGAAAATGAGTCACACAACCAAATAAACAACAGGGCACTCGATTCCAGTCGAACAGAACAAAACAGGAAAACAACATTTTTTTACGTAATAGATTCACCCAACACATTTGTTACAAAGTGAACTGATTCAGTGAAAGGTAAGTGACAACACGGTTGGATACTTTCTGGGCCAAGTTGTTCATAGTAAATTGATTCAATGTATATGGCTATCCGATTGAATTCAGACATAAAATTGATGAGCAAACTGATAATGTAGCTAGATACCAAAGAGCCACGATATACACAGGCATAAAGCGTTCCACCACTAAATAGAGTAAACCGCAACTTAAAAAGATAAACAGAAAGATAAACATGGTTCAAATTCAAGTTCAAGTTCAGAAAATATCCAATAGCGCCACCCTAGACATATTAGCAAAACCAACAAGACTGCATAAAGCCAACACCGAGTGAGCCAAAATACACTAGGAGTTGATGAGCTGTTGAAGATGCTTTATTTGTTTCGTCTTCACCTCTGCATGCCTCAAGACGACATCGATCTCTTCAATCTTCAGCTTCTTCCAGGCCTTTTTTTCGTCTTCATCCCCGATTCCTCCCTCTTCCTCAAGCATGTGATTTGCAGCCTCCAAAATCCTTCTGTCAAGACCTTCCAACTCTACTCCCAGCAAGAAAGACTTCATCATCTCTCTCCTTCTGGCATCCTTTGTATGGACCACACTGCCACTGGCTTTGTCCAACCCGTTTTCATTTTCTTTGGGGACATTTTCATCCAAATTTTGGCCCTTTTGAATGCTATTCCTTCCAGAGGGTCCCCATACTATCTTGGAAAGCTCAAACAGCCTGTGGTCGTGGGGATTCGAGAAGACAGGATCCTCGCCATTATCACTATCACTCTTCTTGAGGGCATTCAAGAAAATGTTCTTCAACCTATTGACCTTGCTCCTCACCTGCACCCTCGAGGGCTCGAACTTCAGATTCCCCTTGATGTAACCGTAAAAGGCAGCCATATCAGCGCTGGCATCCCGGCCCCTGGCGTCCCTGAACTCGATCATCCCTTTCAGCAGGGTCACCTCGTCGTCGTCGCTCCACAGTCTGATAATGCACCCGCCGGGGTTTTTCGCCGCCTCCACGGTCTTCTCCTTCTTCTTGGTCTCTTCGCGGCCGCGTTTTGAAGACTTGGGGGCTTTTGGGACGGGCTGCAGCCTGTAGTCGCCCAGATCCGAATCTGAATCTGAATCTGAACCGATATCCTGGTCGGCGCCTCTGGATTTCGCCACCACTTGTTCGTCGCCGGAGGAGGATGAATCTGATTGCTGTTCCTCACTGTCTTCTTCTTCTTCTTCAGAAGAGGGTTCTCTTGGCTTCTTCTGCTTCGAGGGAATTTGGGTTTTGGGGGCCATTTTCTCTTTTTTTTCACTAGCAGCGGCGGAGGGTTGCCTTTTGAAATGAATGGTTAATATCAAAGTAGGGTTTTTCAACAAGCTTATATAGAGAAATCTTAGGGCTTGTTTGGTCGAGGGAAAATTGGAAGGGAAAGGAAAGGGTTTAGTTTACATTTCCATTGTTTGGTTGCTAGGTTGGGACTTGGGAAGGGTGGGGAAATTTTTTATGTGTGAATTTACTCTTCCACTCTTATTATATGTATTATTTTATTTTTTTTATCTCTAACATTATTAAGTGTATAATTATAATTCTTAAATTATTTTTCTTCTTTATTTTCTAACTAAATGAATTTTACCATGTTATAGTCTTAATTTGTCGATAAGATAATCTTGAGGATATTGAAATTATGTTAAAGTTGAGTTTTAGATTTTAAGTAGAGATGTTAAACGGGCTAGCCCTAGCGGTTTCGGGCTAAACGGTCCAGGCTTAAAAACTCAGATTGAAATGGACTACCAATAAAAGGACATAACCTTAATTCTAGCGGGCTTCGGGCTAAACGGGTTATGCGTATAATAATAATAATAATAATAATAATAATAATAATAATAATAATAATAATAATAATAATAATATCAAAAATATAAATAAAAAAATTATAAACAATTACAACGATTAATTAACGATTTTTTTCAACGGCTATTTGGTATTTACCATTCTATATATACAACTACACATCGTATATGAATACACTACAAACTCTTTAATAACATATTTTTTTTTTCAAAATAAAAAAATATTTGAATTATTACTTACAATTACCATTTTACTACTTATTTTGTACGCTTTGAAAATTTTTACGATATTATATCATTATAAATGCTATCACTATGTTTCATGTGTTAAGTCTTTGTCTCATGTATTTCCTATTAGTCGTTATGATTGACTTAATTATTTTGGTGTGGAGTACAATAAGAATATATTGTTAATAATTATCTTTCAAAATCATTATAATCTGTTACAGCTCATACTACATGTGAAATGGAATAGTAAAATTGTAATATACAATGAATCTAAGAGCATATTACTTGCTGCAAATATTTACAACGCCCAACTCAAGTTAAACGGGTCAGTCCTAGCGGGTTTCGGACTAACCCTAATGGGTTTCGATTTAAACAGTCTGAGCCTAAAAAGCCCTGATTTAAACGGGCTACCAATAAAAAGCATTAACCTTTTTTTCAGGGCTAAACGGGTCGGCCCGTCGGGCCAAGTAACGTTTAACATCTATAATTTTAAGTATGAATTGATTTTATTTATAAACAAACAAATACTAAATAATCTTTCCAAATAAGTTAAATTTATTTTACATCACTTTCTCTTCTTATCTTTTTTATGGTCGAATCTCTCTCCTCAGTCCTCCCCTTTGTTCAACCAAGCATATTTAGTTTAAATTAATATAAAAAAAACATATTTACATGTGGTCTAAAATCTACATTGGAAAATGTACTTTATATTGATCGATAAAATAGATGTTTTGCAACTATTATGATTTGAGCTTCTCAAAGAGTGCAATTGAAAATGTATTCTAACTTCATTTCATTTTATTCATTAGTTCTAATTATTTTTTTTAATAAATAGTAATAACCAGTTCTGATTTTTTCATGGAGCCATCCGATTGTTTTTTTTACAGACCATTCGCCTACGTAGCTCTTATCTGTCACAAACACGTGTCTTAAAATACACCACATGTGTTATATTTGTTTTACATATATAAAGAAAATAAAATAAAACAAAAAACTAAAGAAACAAAATAGACAATATTGATGCCTTTGCCCCGAACTCCCAAAATACTTCAAGCACAACAATTTCTCCAATGTCGTTCGCCGGCTCAACACTTACGTGCGTACGATTGCTTCAAACTCTTCAAATCATCTTCTTAGTTTTGTTTGATTATGAAGGCTAGGATTCTGATGAAGACGAGACCGCGATCGCTTATTTGAATAAATACGACCGACTCCGGGTTTAATTATTTATTTCACATTATTATTAGTACTCTTTTGATTTTTATTTCCTTTATTTGCTTTATTAAGTATGGTAGGAAAATAAAAGACTTGCAGTGTTTTGGCAAGTGTAGGATTCTTATTTTATTCTCCTTTGGTATTTATGCTGAAAGAAACGATGAGAAGGGCAGATGATTGATGAATAAAGTTTTCTGATTGTTCGTTCTTGAGAGAGTATCTCATATTATCCCAAATTGTACTACGCTCTACATCAGATTCTGATTATCCTATTTCAATTTTGGTAAATGTATACGGATTTACGA